AACTATCTTTCTGCAAACATAAACTTCAGGTAAGCTGATCTGATTCCTTCTATCATCTCTTAGTAGTCCATTAATAAAAAAGGATTGCACAATAAGAGCAGGGCAACCCAGCTTTATTGCTGTTAAGACACATTCATATTTTAGATAAACCCCAAATATTTACTCTTTGGTTAATGGAAGCTGTTGCATGAAGACAGTTCTAGAGATTATCATGTTATTCGGATAAGCATTTAATCTTTTAAAAGTGTAATACCAGTTTTGTACATATCACAGTTAAAAATATGTAGATTATATGAGTTATTATCTTATTAATTGGTTTCAAAGTCTTGCTAGCAAATACTATATATAAAGTTAAAAAAATATGAATGGATTGCCTCTCTTGATATTATCTTGCTTAGACATGGTAATAATAATCGTTTTGAAAATGAGAGCCTGAAATATTGGAGTAGGAAAGACTCTTCAAGCATCCAGACTTCTTTTACATATCAGAAGGTGGAGCTTAGAGAGGCTTTAGAGTGATTTGCAGCTGAGTTCAGACTAGAATCCAAGTCCCACTGGGCCACATGACACACTGCTTCCACAAAGCCACCCAAACTCCCTTTTTATTTATATCTGTAGTGTTTGCCCATTTTCTTCTAAAATCAGCCATAGATAGTAAAGGCACATGCCTACCATTAGTTATTCAAGATTAACTTAAAAGATTACCGTAGGAAATCAATCCAAGTTCTGAGCTGATATTTTGATTTGCTTGAAATTTACATAATGCATTATGTTTTTCTTTTTCTTCCATATCTGCCTTTATTGATTTCTTCCATTTTTAAAAGTTCTAGTGCTTTGATAAAAATTAGCCTACATTTGATATACCTAACCTTATCATTGTACTTACAGAGGTAAAGGAGTAGCAAGACAAACCCCATTTTCTGGACTGGGCCTTATTCCCATTTATTGGAGCAATGTCCGTTGCCGAGGAGATGAAGAAAATATACTGCTTTGTGAAAAAGACATCTGGCAGGGTGGGACATGTCCTCAGAAGATGGCAGCTGCTGTCACGTGTAGCTTTTCCCATGGTAAAACAAAATATTTATTCTCTTGCTTTACTGTTATTGTGGTTTCAGCCTGATTCCAGATGATAAAAGTGTCTCAGTTAAATCATTTCCTAAAAGAGTTTAAATACAGACCTAAGTGGAATCATCATAGTCTATCTCCAGTCTAATTAAATAGTCTTCAATAGGATTTCATCTAACAACTGGATTTCCATTTGACCTCACTTTTTACGTATTTTCTGTTTTATCTAATTTGCTTACAGAAATATTATATACTGTATATGAAAACACTTATTTTAGTAATGGAAAAATGTGATGGAATCAAGTTAAAAATCATCTTGAAACCAAACATAAAATACAGCAATTACAACAAAATATTCTCACTTTATAGAATGGAATAGAATCATGGTACCAGTGTTCTCTTCTGAGTTGTAGATGGCACATTTCATAAAACAAATTGCTTCCTTGGATAAGGGCTCCTTCTAAGCACCATATACTAGGCATGAGGTGATTAGGGTATGGTTTCAGTATACAAGTATGCATATGTTCATGAGAAAGGAAGCAGAGGAGGGAATAGCTGCCTTTCACAATGGCGGATGGGTTTTCTGGGGTCCATGGTTGTTTTAATGTGTGACCACAACCTGAGGCCACCACACGGTCACAGTATCCCTTTTACATTTTCCTTGGAGACAGCAGCCTGACCAGATGTCCCAGGTCTTAGAATGCCAGCAGCCAGCGCAGGGCAGTGGTTTCTGTTTGAGTGCAAGTATCAGGGGAGGAATTGAAAAGTTTCCACTGCAAAACATACAGAGACCCAATTTCGGGTCATTCCTGTGAATTGGCTGGAAGAACCAGTGGAAATGGTACATGATATGGTACAGGTGTGTGCTTAGAGAGCTACAATCCTTCTGTGGGTAGGCAAGGTGCATGTTACATCTTTTTTTTGCATGTTACATCTTGATGTCTTATAAGTTTTTCCTTTTCTTCCTTTGCCTCTCCACCTTTGGGTAATGCTACTTTAGGCAAATACGTGTTTACACATTGCTACATCAGGGATGCTGTGAATTGGGCTAAACAGTGCACTGTGTTTTGTAGATATTGCTTGCATTCTGTGTTCAACCCAATTGATAAAATATGTTTAACATTTTTCAAGTAGTGAAGTAAGTAAAATCTTGAAAACAATCTCTTTTTTCCAGGATGTCTATCTACTTAAAAAAAAACCTAGTTCTACTCTCTGTGATCTGTCCACTTGTTTATTCTCTGGTTGCAAAGATAAATTTAAGGTCGGTTGTAAGCATATATAAAACATAGAAGGTTGAGATAAATTAGAAGTGAGAGTGAAAAAAGATGCTTTTATGGTAAATTAAATGAGAATGTGAAAGCAAATAGCTCAGCAAACATGGAGTCCATCTTAAGGCATAGCGGTAGACTTTTAATACATTCTTTTAGTTTGGAATATACATTTGGCATCTTGGCATCTAGTACTTTTCCAACGCTTACAAAGTAGAATATCGTGTGTGAGTACTGGACATAGGAAATAGCAATCTAAATGAAACGTCTGGGAGTTTTATTTATCCATAAGCTAAATGTGAGTCAATTACTTCACTGAAATCTTTTTCAAATGCTTTTGTTGTGTGTGTGTATTTGTTGGGAAGATGTGAGATGTTGACTAAATTTTGTCTTTGAGCTTCTCTATATTTTCACAATTACTTATACAACCAGTGGAAAAACTATATGTTTTAAAGTAAAACATGACCTTAAAAAAAATGTAAGGTAATATGCGACAATGTTTCTAGGTTGTAGGTGATTTTAAATTTCCTCTTAAAAAATTTTGTTTTTCTGTTTTCTCCAAGCTTACCATGGAGATGGGGGGAGGGGAGGTAGAGGAGAATATAATAATTTAAGAAATTTATACAATTTTTCCATCATTTTTTTCTATATTTTCCAAGCTTCTTAAAGGAAAAATAAACATCATAACACGCAAATTTAAGTTTATTAGCATAATTCAGTGATCAGTCATTATAAGAAGCTAATATACAATATTGAGACCAGTTATTTTTTATTATTATTTTTTTTGTGGTACGCGGGCCTCTCACTGTTGTGGCCTCTCCCATTGCGGAGCACAGGCTCTAGACGCGCAGGCTCAGGGGCCATGGCTCACGGGCCCAGCTGCTCCGCGGCATGTGGGATCCTCCCGGACCAGGGCACGAACCCGTGTCCCCTGCATCGGCAGGCGGACTCTCAACCACTGCGCCACCAGGGAAGCCCAGTTATGTTTATTAAACCTGTCTTTTATCCTTTTACAAATTACAAGTGTTAGTTGACTTATGTAAGAAAACTATATTACAAGTATTAGTATATGAGTAGATGCAAATGTGCACTATTCTAAATCCCTCCTCAAGTGTGATATTTGAATATAAATATGAATGTCTAAATACCATTTATTGACGCCACTAACACTGTGGAAGAATTAGGAGCATATTTCATGTGGATAAATGATGAACATTTGGCAAAAGATGCAACTAAATTTCCTAATAGGGACCCAGCCTGTTCTGAATCTTTTACCATCTCACATCCTTTATTCCAGAAAAATTAGACTGCCATACTGTTTCCCCAATACATACAGCTTTGTGCTTCTATGTTTTTGTTCATACTGTTTGTTTTGCCTGAACTGCACTTCCCCCCGTGTCTGACTTCTGAAATCCCATCCATCATCTTGGCCCTCTTCAGCTACCAACTTCTTCAGAAGAGATTCTCTAATTACCCCCACTGGTGAACAAGCAGCCCTTCCACCTGAACCCCTGCAGGGTCTTCTCGATGCTGTCTCATCTGTACTCATATTGTCCATGTCCTGAGGCAGTATACTTCTTGAGGGTAGTGTCTGTGCAGTGCCTTTCTGCCTAATACCCATTTAATAAACTGAATTGAATGAACAGATATTGCTAATTATTTTTCCTTGTTTGGGATATCCTTTCTAGGCTTTTAGTTATCACTTGCCAGTCCACTCAGTCAACAAATATTTATTACATGCCTCTGTATAGCTGGGTATCTGAGGTACACAGGCAAAAGGGAAGGGCATTCCCTGTGTCCTCAATTCTAGACCAGGATAAAGAGGGAGAAATTCAGGGACTTCCCTGGTGGTCCAGTGGTTAAGCCTCCGTGCTCCCAATGCAGGGGCCCCGGGTTTGATCCCTAGTTAGGGAACTAGATCCCGTATGCCACAACTAAAAGATCCCACACGGCACAACAGAGACCTGGTGCAGCCAAATAAATAAATAAATATTTTTAAAAAAAAGAGGGAGAGAGAAATTCAGAAACTGATGAAGCTAGGTAAGGGCACTGTAGACTACAATACGGAATTTGCAGTGGGAATCCTCTGGTGGTTCTTCACAGAGTATGTACTGATTCATACCTAAATGAATTTTCAATATTGTTTTTTGAAGGTGTTGGTTGTGATGTCCACCAACTTGTTATAATGTGTTAGATTTTAACTTTGTCTTGATTTCTATGTAAATGTAAAAATATTTCTATGCTGAAAACAAGTATCTTATAGACATAAGTGCCATTCTCAATAATTACATATTGGGAATGCTCAAGTTACTGTAAATAAAAAACCAATGCCACCACCACAATGGTGGCAGCAACCCCATAAAAATCAAATGGGTTTCCAATAACTGCAGTTTTGAGTGTGTCTTTTCTGGTTTCTGAGGTCCTTGGGGGAAAGTGAATTTAGACTATTTCCTCTTGAGAGCTATTTGTATGAACGTAATTCAAGTTGAGGTATTTTAATTGGTAGAGAGTACCATAAAATATAGTAGACATGCATGGATATGTCCATATCACTTAATAAATATAACTTAATTATAGAGAATGGCAAAGAAATAAACTATACCTGATCTTCTCACCCAGTGTGAATCCGTAGGTTTACTTTGTTGTTAATTTCACATTGTGCAGGCCCTGCGTTCCCCGTCCTACGCCTTGCTGGGGGGAGCAGTGCGCGTGAGGGCCGAGTGGAGCTCTACCGTGCAGGTCAGTGGGGCACTGTCTGTGACGACCAGTGGGATGATGCAGATGCAGAAGTGGTCTGCAGGCAGCTGGGCCTGAGGTTGGTCTTTCTTGTTCTTGTTTTGTTTTGCTTGAATTTTTGAGTTTATTATTTCCATACCCAAAGGTAGGTGTGTTTATTTATTTATTTATTTTTGCGGTACACGGGCCTCTCACTGCTGTGGCCTCTCCCGCTGCGGAGCACAGGCTTTGGACGCGCAGGCTCAGCGGCCGTGGCTCACAGGCCCAGCCGCTCCGCGGCATGTGGGATCTTTAGGTGTGTTTATATTGCAGATTTCTTTGAATAAATGGAAAAAGCCACCTTTTGATCTTTGTATTAGGCTGTAGGCTCCCTGAAGAGAACGGTTATGTACTCTTAGGTCTAACCTATTTGTATCTGAATTCAGCTGATTTTATATCCCTAAGAATCTAAGCCTTTTACCACTTTTCATCATGAGCCTTTACATTACTCCCAGGTAATGACTAGCATTGTCAGCTGCAGCGACTTAACCAGAGTCATATGATGAAACTAGTTGTTAGGCTTTAACTGAAGTTCAATTCCTTTCCTCCAGATACTGTCTAAACTTTTGACCTTTGCCTCCTTATTTGTGAGGTATGTGCTTAGAACAAAGGATGTTTATTAATGTACAAAGGAAATAATTCCTATGCAGGATATGGCAATGAAGCATGTGTGATAAAAACAGCAATATGAAAACCAACATTAAATGTTGCTTTAGTTGTGATTATTTTGGAATAGTATGTTATAATTTTGGATCCTCTAACCCCTGTTTTTAGTGATTTTGAACATTGATATAACAAGCCTAAAAGTTTCTTTAAAGTTATATTAGGGAATCTTTTGAAAGTTGATATTTTACTTTAAATTAGAAAAAAAATTATTTAGCATGTCGTGGCAGGTAGGGGTGGGTGGATGTGGAGGCTTCTAAAGCTTCTCTATGTATCATTTTGTCCATTTAAGCATAATCTTTGACACTAGAGCATGAATTTTGTACCTTGAACCATCTACAGTAATTTTTTTGCAATTGTTTTTGCAGCTGACCCCCCTATTTTTCAAAACTGTATGTTAATATTGAAGTCTTTTAAAGCAAAATAAAGACGTTTCAACATTTTACCTCTAAATACTTCAGTATGCATCTCTTAAAAATAAGAACGTTGTCCTACATAGCCAAATTATCATTATCACAACTAATATAAATGGTAATCATTCTTAAATTGTCTACTACCCTGTCATACTCAAATTCCCATAGTTGTTCCCACCATGTCCTTGACAGATGGTTTGTCCGCAGCAGAATTTAGTCCAGGACTTTGCAGTGCATCTGGATGTTACGTCCCTGAAATCTCTTAATCTAGAACTGCCTCTTGTTTTTCATGACACTGTCTTGTTGAAGAGACCAAAAACCAAGCCAGTTGTTTTGGAGACTATCCTACCTTCTGGATTTGTCTCATTTCTTCCTCCTGTTATCATTTAGCCTACTCCTCTGGTTCTTGTAACTCCGGAAATGGGAGGCTAGGTCCAACAGCTTGATTAGATCAAATCAATCAAGTATTTTGGCTAGAAACCATCACAGGTGATATGTTCTCATCTTGCACGTCATCAGGAGTCACAGAACAGCTCTGGGTTTCCCCACTGATAAGGATAAGGTTAAGCACTGAATTAAGGTGGCATCAGCCTAATCCTTCACTGTAGGTTACATTTTCCCCCTGTAACTGATTCTGCAACCTAAATGCTCTTTCACAGTTTATGCATGGGAAAGGAATAAGCATGCAAAGTCCTGTGTCCATAGGGCTTATAATTACTGGTGGTGTATGATCTGACTGGTATGATCATTTTCTTTGGATGGTTCAGGAATAGGGCCAACTAGCTCTTTTTGAGAAAAACTGTTATTAATCATTAAATTTTGAGACTAGATTTTCAAAACGTTCTGACTGGGTATCAATTTCAAGACCAATTTTTCTCAAAAATTTAGATGGTGTCAGAGTCAGCATAGCGTAAGATTATGAGCATGTGCCATGTACTCAGAATGACCTGAATTTGAGTTGTATTTCTGGAGATAAGAAAAATGGCAGGATATCTCTTAGCTGCAGTTTCCTCATCTATAACACATTTCCTGATGTAGAGTTTAGTGGTTTTAAAGCGGTTAGCACACATAGTATGTATACAGTATACATTGACTATAATTGGGGACTTATAGCTGAAAGATGTTATTAAACATTCAAAGAAAAATGTTATTAAACATTTCAAATTAAGCTGGACATTTGGTAGGAGATCATCAAACACCATTCCTCTATCTAGAACTTCTATTTAGTTAGCTATATCTATGAATTTCATATTTTTAAAAGACTCTAATGTGGTTATATGTGTATTTACCAATTATGGTATCAGTGGTATGTTAATTGATTTTCATGTTAGTTACTAAGAAATCAATGTCTTTGCCAAAAATACAAAAATTTTAAGGGTATAGTAATGGCATATTTAACATTACAAGTTGCAGTATAGATTACTCTAAATTTAAGGTATAAGGCATTTATTATTATTTATATATTTCTGTGGGAAAAGGCAAGCTTTTGTTGCTTAGAAAAATGTGTAGAAAATTTAAATGACGCTAAATTTTAGTTACATTTATAGTTATTCTAAAAATTCATGTTTTAACGTAGAGTTCTTTCTTGAGAGCCAAATTTTCTTTTTTAACTCATATAAACTGTTGTCAAACAAAGACCATGTTGCAAACAGGAGTCTACTACATGGAAAGAATGTAGAGAGAGAATCACAAGGAAGACTATATTAATGTTGAACACGTGTGGGTTGCGTAAAGTGTTTACATCTTTCTCAAGCATTGGCTCACTGCTATCTTTTGTATGAAAAGATTTGTGTTCAGAAAAATGATTAAAAGGAAAAATATCTTCAAATATTCAAGGCAGCAAAGATCCTCCACAAGCCTATGTAATCACCAACAATCCAGCTTGGTGGAGATTTGTTTTTATTATAAGTACTCTAGGTTCTGAGCTGACATTGTTCATTTGCTTTTCTTTCCCTTGATTTTATACTTCTCTCATAAGCTTGCAACAAAGCAATATTCTGCAACTGCTCTTCCCCTAGAATTTGTTTTGCTCACTTAAAGGCACAGTACTTTCAGATGAAATAATTTTTAACGTTACAAGGTTGATAGCAGACAGCATAATCATAGCTTATCTCAATTTATGATTTGTTCTTAAGCAAATTTCATCTCAGTCATACTTGCCTTGTCGAATTCCCAAAGGGAAACTACACCATGCCTCTCTGGAGTGCTAGTTACAATTCCTTTGTGAGATGCTGTCTTTGTTGACCCGCATCTTTTAATGGTGTCTGTAGATTTTGGTAGCTGGCAAGCTTCCTACAATGCAAAAGGAATTACTGTACTTATGATACTGAAATTTGATTAGCCTAGAACTCAGAGAAAGATGAGCAGGAAAGGAGGCAGCCTGATGTTAGAAAATTGAACTTGAGAATGCATATGTACACAGCGAAGTTTCAGGTAGAGACATTTTAATTGGAGTTCCTTTTGTGCACTTAACATTGAAGCATTTCCTATGCCTTTTAGAACTCAAAAGCGTAGTAGAACTGTGACATCATATTTTATGTGTGGATATGCCATAATTTACATAAGAATTTAAAATTTTTAAACACTTTTTCTTCTTAGGTTTTTTTTTGCTATAAAATTATCATATAGAACCATACTACTGAGTGGTCAGAATAAAAATTCTTCTGGTACAATTAAAAATGTTTCTTTGTGGCTTCCCTGGTGGCTCAGTGGTTGAGAGTCCGCCTGCCGATGCAGGGGACATGGGTTCGTGCCCTGGTCCGGGAAGATCCCACATGCTGCAGAGCGGCTGGGCCCGTGAGCCATGGCCGCTGAGCCTGCGCGTCCGGAGCCTGTGCTCCGCAACGGGAGAGGCCATAACAGTGAGAGGCCCGCGTACCGCCAAAAAAAAAGTTTCTTTCTTTGTTCTCTTATTTTACTGTTTATTAATTTCTAAAATACTTTATAAACATTACTGGTATGTGGAATTATTGAGCAGGAAAGAGGCCTTATATAACAAGATAAGAAACTTAGGCCCTCTGAGATTACTCAAAGCCCCTAAATCATACTGTGAGTGAGGGACAGAATCTTGAGATTTATGGCTTCCAGTGTAGGATTTCTTTTCTTTCATGTTACACTGTTTGCAAAATAGACAGGTGTTAATAAGAATACATATGAATATAGGGCTGAAAGAAATAGGTAAGTCAAGAGAGAAGAGTTAATTGTAGGAAGAAACAATGACGAACATGTTTTAGACAGACTGTATTTGCGATGCCATAGCCATCTCACTGAAAATGCCCCAGCAGACTGCAAGAAAGCCAAGTGTTTCAGGGTCTGCTCTGTAGCCAGACAAACCTTACCATCTCATGGTGGTGTAATGCTGGGCTAATTATTAACTTCTGGACCTCAGTTTCCTCATTTGTAAATTAGGGATAATAACATCATGGGGTTGTAGGGAGGATTAAAAGAGTTAATACACATAAAGCTGTTAGACCAGTGTCTGGCATGCAGTAATCATTCAGCATACTTCAAATATCGTAATTGGAGATGGAGGGGGTTGTTTTCCAGGGAGAAATATAGGCTATTGATCATTAAAAATGAGCTTTTTTAATCCATATGTTACAAGTGCCACAAACTGTTATTTGCAGTCAAAGGACCAATCTTTTATAACCTAAGAAGTAATTATCTTGCACGATAGAATTGCCTGACTCTATTCTGTGTCTATTCAAAGTAGTGGCTAAGCCTGGGGATTGAGTTAGTCAGATGGTACTATTTATTTGCTTTTTTTTTCTATGGAAAACAAACAAACTTTATATGAATACAGTCAGATTAGCTAAGTAGGTTTAGGAATGTTTTGGGTAAAGATCAGACATAGAATCAATTCAGTGTTTATTGGGGATTGCTGCTATATAGGTCAAACAGCTTTACAGAAAATAACCTAATAAATCAGTGTATTATATCAGAGAACCCCACAAATTTATTCTGTGGTCAGAGGGTAAGAGACTAGGTAACACTGGGACTATTACTACAAATGAACTGCCAGGGCTGGTGTGGACATAATTTCCATAAAGGAAGGACAGAGAATACACAGCTTTATCGAATTCACATAGCACTTATTTGCCTTTAACAACCCAGGAGTTTTTTTTGTTTTTTTTTAAAATTTTATTTATTTATTTATTTATTTATGGCTGTGTTGGGTCTTCGTTTCCATGTGAGGGCTTTCTCTAGTTGCGGCGAGTGGGGGCCATTCTTCATCGCGGTGCGCGGGCCTCTCACTGTCGCGGCCTCTCTTGTTGCGGAGCACAGGCTCCATATGTGCAGGCTGAGTAGTTGTGGCTCACGGGCCTAGTTGCCCCGCGGAATGTGGGATCTTCCCAGACCAGGGCTCGAACCCGTGTCCGCTGCATTGGCAGGCAGATTCTCAACCACTGTGCCACCAGGGAAGCCCCAACCCATGAGTTTTATGTTGCTTTTCCTAGTATTGCACAGTCTCTTGAAGGGCAGAGTCATCAATTTCTTTGGTATACCCCTGAGAGCCAGCACAGTCCAGGGCACCAGGAAATACTAGTGACTGGCTGAAGGAATGTGTGTATTTATAAATATTATAATCTTAATTTTAATAGACTCAAAAATTAGCTAGGAAACCTACTTTGTTTTACATCATAGTTTCCTAGTCAGTTTCTTTTTTGGTCCTTGAATTTATTATATTAGTTTTTCTGATTAGTTTATTTTAATTAAACATTTTTGTGATCATTAAAATAATGTTTGTAAATAATGGAAAATATAGAAATATATAAGGAAGAAAATAAAACACCCAAATGGTGTTTTAAGACTGCATTATAGGACTTCCCTGGTGGCACAGTGGTTAAGAATCCGCCTGCCAATGCAGGGGACACGGGTTCGAGCCCTGGTCCGGGAAGAACCCACATGCTGCGGAGCAACTAAGCCCATGCACCACAACTACTGAGCCTGCGCTCTAGAGCCCACAAGCCAGAACTATGGAGCCTGCGTGCCGCAACTACTGAAGCCTGCACGCCTAGAGCCCATGCTCCACAAGAAGCCACCGCAATGAGAAGCCTGCGCACTGCAACGCAGTAGACCCCTCTCGCTGCAACTAGAGAAAAGTCCACGTGCATCAAGGAAGACCCAATGCAGCCAAATATTTAAAAAAAAAAAAAAAAAAAAACTGCATTATAACATAGATGACTTTACCCAGAGTCACTGTTTGGGGCTTCTGCTCTCCCATCCTGTGTCCTCCCTTAAGGAAGGGACACAGTTAATCAGGCCTTTTGTTTTTTTCTAGGACCTCTATCACATAATCTTTAACATATTTGAAATAAAGTATATTTCAGTTACTCTGTCCAGCCCATCTCAAGTCACTCCCAACTAACGAATATTTTAGGCTTGGTTTGTTATTTTTTTCGTGAGAATAAAAAGGCTTTAGTTTGTAAACTTTTAGCCTAAATATTTAATGAAAATGATATTAAGGATATGTAAGAATGCATTCTTATTGTTTTAATTTGACCATTGTAAGGTTGAGCATCTTACCATCTGGTCAGTGGCCATGGGTATTTCTTCTGTAAATAGCCTGTTCCTCTCCTTTGCCCTGTTTTTTTATGTTGGTCATTTTGTCTTTCATTATGATAATAATAAGTTATTATTTATTTCTAGGAGTGTTTTTTTTCTTTGATTGTGGTTACATTTTACAAATATATCCTCCAGCTTGTTTGCCTTTTGACTGGTTATGGTGTATTTTGCTATACAGTAGTTCAAATTTATATGTGACTAAATTTAACTTTTTTAGTCTTTGTTTTCTGACTTCTGGGTTTTTTATTTTTTATCTTGCTCAGGAAATTCTCTTATTACCAAGGTTATAAGAACTATGTTCTTCTTATTTCATTATATTAACTTTTTAGCCATCTTCCTTCCTTCCTCCTTTCCTCCCTTCCCCTCCCCTTTCCTTCCCTCCCCTTCCCTTCCCTTCCCTTCCCTTCCCTTCCCTTCCCTTCCCTTCCTTTCCCTTCCCTTCCCTTCCCTTTAGGTCTTTAAACCATCTGGAGTTTATTTTTTGTTTCTGTTATGAGTTTGGGATCAAATTTTATATTCTCTCATATTGGTCCCTGGTTTTCTTATAGCACCTAATCTTGGCTCAGTGAATTATACCCATTGAAATTTTCTTTAACAGATCTTTTTCTTTCCTAGCATTTATCCCAGGGCAAAGATCCAAGGAGGCTGTTAATCTGCCTTTCTCCAAAGCTTTCCTATCTGGCTTCCCCATGACCTGCATTAGTCATCCTGTCTCACCCTCCTCTGTTCTCCAACTTTCAGTGCTCTCTAAATCAGTTTCCATATTTGCTTTCATTAATCTCTTTCCTCTAGAGCAAGGGTCAGCAAACTTTTTCTGTAAAGGGCCACATAGTGAGTATTTTAGACTTTCCAGCTACTCAACTGAGCTTTTGTGTAGTGCAAAAGCAGCCACAGACAGTAAGTTGGGAATCAGTGTGCCTTTGTTCCAATAAAACCTTATTTCTGGACAGTAAAATTTGAATTACATGTATAAAAATTATATTCTTGTTTTGGTTGTAGATTCTTAAGATAGTTATAATGTTATAAGAAAAGGGCAACTTAAATAATGGGGAAGAGATGCAGAATCATTGAAAAACAAACTGCAGGTATAAATGCTCTAGTCTAAAAATTCAAAGGCTAAAAGGGGCTGAAGGTGCAATTTCTGAAGTCGTTAACCATTTTGACAGGCAATCGTGATCTTCATTTAAATCTGGGGTTCTAGAAGATGGTGTCACGTTGAATTGTGGGAGAAGTAAATTTAGTCAAATAAATTTGAGTGAAGAAATATTTGGCCATGAGTAGCAGAGAACTGAAGATAACAGTGGCTTAAACAAGACAAGAGTTTACGTCTCTCTCAAGAGACCAGAGGTAGCTCAAGGCTGGTATGGTGGTCCCATAGTCATCAGGGCCGCAGTCTCTTTCTTGCTTGCAGTTCTTTCATTCTTAGTGTGGAACCTTATGGACCAAGATAGCTTCTCAAGCTCCAGCCATCACCTCTGCCTAACAGTCAACAGGAAGGAGGAAGTGGGACAAGGGTACTTCCTGGAAGTAATACATGACACTTTTACCTAAATGTTATTGGTCAAAACTTAGTCATATAAAATGAGTACAGAGCTTCCATTTGGGATGATTAAAAAGTCCTGGAGATGGATGCTAGTGGCAGTTGCACAACAAGGTGAATGTACTTAGTGCCACTGAATTGTACACTTAAAAATGGTTAGAGTGGTCAATTTTATGTTATGCATGTTTTAAAACAAACAAACAAACAAACTTCACTGTAAGGAAGGGAGGGTGGGAAATGTGGTCTTTATTCTGGATAGCGATTGTCCTCCCCAAACTCTGAGGTTCCATTACTAATGAAGAAAAGGGGAGTAGATATTGGAGAATAATTAGCAGTCTTGGAAAGATTTGTGATAGCTGAAAATATAAAAATCAACAAAAAAGAAGCAAGTCATGTGTGACCTATGGAGTGAATTGATAAGGGAAATTATGAATTAATCATAATTTTACCTTTGCCAGGGGCAAAAGAAAAAAGTCAGACCAACCTTTGGTCTGACTCATGTTCTTATGTTTGTTCAGTGGCATTGCCAAAGCATGGAATCAGGCATATTTTGGGGAAGGATCTGGCCCAGTAATGTTGGATGAGGTACGCTGCACTGGGAATGAGCTTTCTATTGAGCAGTGTCCAAAGAGTTCCTGGGGAGAGCATAATTGTGGCCATAAAGAAGATGCTGGAGTGTCCTGTACCCCTCTAACAGGTAAGAGCTTCACCCCATTAATCTTAACCAACTCTTGCCCCCAGCACCCTTTGGGCTTACCTTCCCTTCTCCTCAATTTAGCTGATATTACTAAATGAGCTTACAATTAAGCCCCCAAATAAAACTTAAAAAAAAAAAGTAATACAAATGATATATTAAAATGCTATCTCCTTATTCATAGATATTTCTGAATTTTTCAGTTGCAAGCTATACAGTCCTATAAAGCCAGGTCAGAAAATATGATCTTGTTGCAATATATAGTACCCAATAGTAAAAATCAGTGTGCATTGATAAATTTCGTGTGTTAGGTATTATAATTCTATATTTAGTCCATTCATACATTAACCTATCTGGATTCTAGGAATATGTTTGTAGCTGGTAAAACCATATTGATGGGATTGTTGATTAAAGCACACTATTAAAGAACCAAGTTACCTTTGCTGTGCTCAATATTCAGACTATTCCAAATCACAGCATGCTTGTCAAGATATGTCTTGTGTTGCAAGGACATTTCTGAGTGCAAATGAGTGTATGTGTATGTACTTACATGTTTGGGGGTAAGAAGAGGGAAATGGAGAGGCAAGAGAAGTTGGGTCATCACAAATCTGTTGTTTCTATAGTAAAAAGAGCTTGTTTCTATAGTAAAAAGAGCTTGAAAAAAATTGGGGCCTTTAATCTTTCTTTAAAAACATCAAATGAAACACTTCTTAGGGACGGTGAAATGCTGAAGTTCTACTTTTTATTTACATAGTTCTATACACAGTGTTGTTTTTATTAGAATAACACATTTATACACAATAGAAATATAAAATTTACATCAGATTGTAAGCCAGAGCACTTCATTCTCTTGACCCTCCATTTTTTCCTCTTTCAAATGAGGATAGTCTCCTAATGTTTCCGAGATGGTCAGATGAGATAATAGGTGTAACAGTGCTTTGCAGACGGTGAAGTTTTACATTTGTAAGTGATTCTGTTGCTAGGAGACCTTCATTTACTTTAAAAGACCCCCGAAAGTCATGAGAAGTATGACTTTTACCCGAGATTATTTATGTTTCATTTGGTGGGTGGGGTGTTTGGATTGTTTTGGATGGAAATAGCTTTTTAATATACTTTTTTGGGAATAAATGTATTGTGTATGTGCTTAGAAGCTTTTTATGGAATTCTCTGGGAATTAATTATTCATTGAATTCACAAGATTCAGATTCAGATTTGTATTATTGATAAAAGAACAAAGGGAAAACATGAACCCCAGTTTTGTAACTTATGAATGCCTAAGGAATAATAAATGCCTTGATATGATAGATCACTCTTTAACCAGAATAGCTTTTTCTGTCTCCATATTGCAACATTTTTTCATTCACAGTTAAATTTTTGAACTATTTCCAAGTTACTATTTTAACTTTTAAATTTAAATGACTAATACTGCTCAAACTTAAGGAGATTGAAGCCATAGGAAATTTCCCAAATATTATTTAATCTGGAAAAATCTAAATACTTTGGAGTTATATCAGAATACGTTTTTCTACTTAGACATAGGAGTACAAATAAAAAGGAAAGACTATTTTGTTAGGACAGGTATGTGTTATGACTTTTACTCCAGAAACAATCCAGTGACCTCAGGTCACTGAGCACAGCTCTAATGGAAGTTTAACGAAAGGCCTAGAGAGAGATCTGAGTAGGGTGATATTTCTCGTGCAATTAAAATATTGTTCTACCTTTTTTGATAATTATTTGATTAGTCTCTATGTCTCCTTCTTGTCACAGATGGGGTCATCAGACTTGCAGGTGGTAAAGGCAACCATGAGGGTCACCTGGAGGTGTATTACAGGGGACAGTGGGGCACTGTCTGTGATGACGGCTGGACTGAGCTGAATACATATGTGGTTTGCCGACAGCTGGGATTTAAGTAAGATCCATTGACAGGAGGCAGCTAAATGCCAAGTTATATTTTTAAGAGTCTCATTTTGTAATCCTTACTTGTAATTTCTATAATACTAAAAATATATGTTCACAATCATTATCTACCTATCTATTCTACCTACTTTCCTACCTACCTTATCTACCTTCTCTATATGGAAATTCAACAACAAAAAAACCAATAACATTTTCTTTGATGATGAATAACCATATCTTGCTGTTTATCTCATTTGCCTTTCCTGCCACCACCCCTCTTCTTTTTGTTATAAATTTATTTATTTATTTGGCTGCATTGGGTCTTCCTTGCTGCACGTGGGCTTTTCTCTAGTTGCAGTGAATGGGGGCTACTCTTTGTTGCGGGGCGCGGGCTTCTCACTGCTGTGGCTTCTCTTGTTGCAGAGCACAGGCTCTAGGCGCACGGGCTTCAGTAGTTGTGGCACGCGGGTTAAGCAGTTGTGGCTCGCAGGCTTAGTTGCTCCGCGGCATGTGGGATCTTCCCGGACCAGGACTCAAACCCGTGTCCCCTGTACTGGCAGGTGGATTCTTAACCACTGCGCCACCAGGGAAGTCCCACCCCTCTTCTTGAATAATGGAGCCGTGGATGACTTTTAGGTCTCATTGTGTCTGTTCAAGTAAGACTGTATGCTTTGAATGCTCAGTTTTATTCTGATGCTTCACTACTATTGGATGTTGTTAGTACTGACATCACTGTATCTAAAATTGCAGAGAAGTCCAGTGTCAAATGCTTTGGTATTACATTATTTCCTTTCTCAGAATGTGATGATAATTATCACTTTTATTTGAGAAAAACAGCTTTCTTGTCATGAGGTGACCTTTAGAACTCACCCTTGACCTCACTCTCTTAAAAACTGAGTATCACACTTTGGGCGATACATTTCATGTCACACACATAATGCATTCCAGAGTAAAGACTTAAGTTGGTTGAAGTAACTGCAAATGATGCCTTTGAGCTAATATCTGAATGAAACCCATGAATGCCCATTCTTTCTTGTTTTCCATATTTCTGTGTCATGCTTGAAGTAATTGTCTCATGCTTGAAAAAATGAGCAAAATTATTTCATTTCAGCTTGAGATAGAGCTAATTGCAAATATTTATTAAACCTAAAAAATATGCTTTCATTCAAGCTAGGTATGACCATGTTTAAACATATATTTTTAAGTTTGTAAAAGTAATATAAAATTTTAGAAAAAGTTTGGAAAATAAAGAAAATAAAAAACTACCGCTTTAAAAAAAAAAAAAAACTACCCCTAATTTTTCCATTCTTACACCGTCATTATTATAACTTGTGTGTATAACTTTATAACAGCTCTAGTAGTAGACTGTAATTTTTCCATTCATATTTCTTACTTTTATATTATTACACAGTCATAATTTTTAATAACATAATAACTATTGAATGTTCATACTATAATTTACTTAATATTTAGATTAGTTTAATTTTTCCTGTTTAAATAATGACATCATGAAGATATAGATGCATGTTGTTGACTAATATTTTGAATTTTCATGGGCAGTGCAGTTATTATTATTATTATTTATTTATTTTTTTAACATCTTTATTGGGGTATAATTGCTTTACAGTGGTGTGTTAGTTTCTGCTTTATAACAGAGTGAGTCAGTTATACATATACATATGTTCCCATATCTCTTCCCTCTTTGTCTCCCTCCCTCCCACCCTCCCTATCCCACCCCTCCAGACAGCCACA